GGCAGGACCCAGTATCATCTAGACCATCACTGACCCTATCTAACCTGCTCTTAGATCTCTCCAGAGCTGGAGATTCCACAACCTCCCTAGGCAATTTATTCCAATGTTTAATCACCCTGACAGGAAGTTTTTCCTAATGTCCAGCCTAAACCTCCCCTGCTGCAATTTAAGCCCATTGCTTCTTGTCCTATCCTCAAAGGCCAAGGAAAACAATTTGTCTCCCTCCTCCTTGTGACACCCTTTTAGATACCTGAAAACTGCTATCATGTCCCCTCTCAGTCTTCTCCTTTCCAAACTAAACAACCCACTTCTTTCATTCTTCCTTCATAGTTTATGTTCTCTAGACCTTAATCATTCTTGTTGCTCTTCTCTGGACCTTCTCCAATTTCTCCACATCTTTCTTGAAATGTAGTGCCCAGAATTGGACACAGTACTCTAATTGAGGCCTGATCAGTGCAGAGTAGAGCGGAAGAATGACTTCTCTTGTCTTGCTCACAACATTCCTTTTCTAATCAGCGCAGAGTGGAAGAATGACTTTCCATGTCTTGCTCACAGCACACTTGTTAATACATTCCAGAATCACGTTTCCTTTTTTTGCAAGTGTCATGCTGTTGACTCATAGTGGACCACAAGCTAAATATGACCCCTAGATCTCTTTCTGCAGTACTCCTCCCTAGATAGTCACTTCCCATTCTCTATGTGTGAGAGTGATTGTTCCTTCCTAAGTGGAGTATTTTATATTTCTCCTTCCTAAACTTCATCCTATTTACCTCAGACCCTTTCTCCAGTTTGTCCAAATCATTTTGAATGATGACCCTATCCTCCAAAGCAGTTGCAACCGCTGCCAGCTTGGTATCATCTGCAAACTTAATAAGCATACTTTCTATGCCAATATCTAAATTGTTGATAAAGATATTGAACAGAACTGGTATCAAAACCCTGCGGAATCCCACTTGTTATGCCCTTCCAGCAGGATTGTGAACCATTATTAACTACTTTCTGAGAATGGTTATCCAGCCAGTTATGCACTCACCTTATAGTAGTTCCATCTGAGTTGTATTTGTATTTGCCTAATTTATTGATAAGATCATGCAAGACTGTATCAGATGCCTTACTAAAGTCTAGGTATACCACATCCACTGCTTCTCCCTTATCCAAAAGACTCGTTATCCTATCAAAGAAAGCTATCAGATTGGTTTGACATGATCTGTTCTTTACAATCCATGCTGGCTATTACCTATTACCCTATTATCTTCCAGGTATTTGCAGATGAATTCCTTACTTGCTCCATTATCTTTCCTGGCACAGAAGTTAAACTGACTGGTTGGTAGTTTCCTGGGTTGTTCTTATTTCCCTTTTTATAAATGAGCACTATATTTGCCCTTTTCCAGTCTTCTGAAATGTTTCCCGTCTTCCATGATTTTTCAAAGATAATAGCTAACGCCTCTGATACTTCCTCTATCAGCTCCCTGAGTATTCTAGGATGCATTTCATCAGGCCCTGGTGACTTGCAGAAATCTAACTTTTCCAAGTGATTTTTAACTTTGTTCTTTATTTTATCTTCTAAACCTACCCCATTCCCACTAGCATTCAGTATGTTAGGCATTCCTTTATCAACAGACTTCTTGGTGAAGACTGAAACAAAGTCATTAAGCACCTCTGCCATTTCCAAATTTCCTGCTACTGTTTCTCCCTCCTCACTGAGCAGTGGGCCTACCCTGTCCTTGGTCTTCCTCTTGCTTCTCATATTTTTATAGAATGTCATTTTTTTACCCTTTATATCCCTAGCTAGATTGAGCATATTTTGTGCCTTTGCCTTTCTCATCTTGCCCCTGCGTATCTGTATTGTTTGCTTATATTCATCTTTTGTAATTTGTGCTAGTTTCCACTTTTTATATGACTCCTTTTTGATTTTTAGATCATGCAAGATCTCCTGGTTAAGCCAAGGTAGTCTTTTGCCATACTTTCTATCTTTTGTATGCAGCAGAATTGCTTGCTTTCAGGCCCTTAATAAAGTTCCTTTGAAAAACTTCCAACTCCCCTCAGTTGTTTTTCCCATTAGTCTTGCTTCCTTCCCATGGGACCTTACTTACCAGCTTTCTGAACTTATCAAAATCTGCCTTCCTGAAATTCATTGTCTCTATTTTGCTGTTCTCCCTTCTACCATTCCTTAGAATTATGAACTCTATGATTTTATGATCACTTTCACCCAGGCTGCCTTCCACTTTCAAATTCTCAACCAGCTCCTCCCTATTTGTTAAGATCAAATCTAGAATAGTTTCCCCTCTAGTACCTTTTTCAACCTTCTGAAATAAAAAGTTGTGTCTAATGCAGTCCAAGAACATATTGGATAGTCTGTGCCCCGCTGTGTTAGTTTCCCAACAGCACCAAATCCTGTGCTATGGATGATTTTGTTAGTTGTTTTTCAAAGGCCTCATCCACCTCTTCTACCTCGGTAACTGGCCTGTAGTAGACCCCCTAGCACGGAACTATGTTCCGAGGAACACTGGTATTCCGTGAACAAGTAGCAGGTGTGCCGCGACCTTTTCTTTGTTTTTGTTGTTTCTTTTTTTTTGTCTCTTTTTTTTTGTCTGACAATTTTTTTTTTTTTAAGAAAATTTTCATAGGTGTTCTGCATAAAAAAATATTGTTTGGTGTTCTGTGGTCTCAAAAAGTTTAAGAAACACTGCCCTAGCATGACATCACTCTTGTGTTTTACCGCTTTTAACCTAACCCAGAGACTCGCAACACATCTGGTTCCTACATCCATCTCCACCTCAGTCCAAGTGTATACATTTTTAATATATAAGGCAACACCTCCTTAATATATAAGGCAACACCTTTTGGCCCCACCTGTCCTTCCTAAGTAAGCAGTACCCTTCTATATCGATATTCCAATCATGTGTATTATCCCACCAAGTCTCTGTGATACCAATAAGGTCATTGTTGTATTTATTTATTAGCACTTCCAGTTCTTCCTGCTTGTCACCCAGGCTTCTTGCATTTATATACCGGCATCTAAGATACCGATTTGACCTAGCCTCCCACTTATGCCTTGTCCCTCCTTTTTCTCTGCTGTTATAATCCATGCTGCCTCCCATTTCTGACCCATCTCCCAGGCCTTCATGCTCTTCACTTACCTGTGGGCTTTGGTCACCTGATAGAAAGCTGAATATTCTGTCTAGCTATTCTTTGTGAATTGGCTTAGCACATAGTGTTAACATTTAAATTTTACAGTTGATTTTGATTAGTATTATTCTTCAGTAATAAAACACTGGTAAAGATTCCTTTTTGGTTTGTCTTCTCTGACTTTGACCCCATTGAGCAAAAGCTAGTATTTTTGTTTGATGTCATTGATTCAGTGCAGCAAAAAATAAAGTTTTGGTAGTAGATCTTTCTTGAAGATCAGAAGTGTGTGGACACTAAATTGGTATGGTTTTACTACTGTTAATTAGTCTTAGACTCTATCTAGGAACTATCATGTAATTCTTTCTACAATTTTTGGGGGAGATGGTTGTGGCAGTTGGTGGGCATAATAGTTAAACCAATGAGCCTACTTTTCCAGAGTGGCTGATTTGCTTTAACTGTATCTGATCTGAGGATGTTTTGAAAATGTTCTTCATAGACACTTTCAAATCAGGTAATTTTTTTGGAGATGAAGCCCACTATCAGGGCTGTTTAAAGCATGGGAAAATCAGACTTAGGGAAACTTCAGCTGATAGTTGGAGGGAAGGCCAGTAACATCTAATTTACAGCCCTCCAACATTTTATTGAAGTTACTTTGCTTATCTCCCTTTTTAGTTGTCACTTTTAAAAATTATACTTGCTTTGCTCTGACCACTAATTTCTTGAAGTGTTCAGTCTTAGCTATAGGGATATGCAGGGTTTGACGAACCGCGGTGAAAGCCGCTTGCCAGCCCCGCACTGCACATGCGCAAGAGCCGCATTGTGCATGTGCGCGCTGCCAGTAAACGGGGCGCCAGGTTGAAATCTACTTGCCACGGGCGAGAAGATTCAATAGATTATCGAGCCCGAAGACGTGAACAATTAGTCAACTAGTCGCTCCCCCCACATTGCTTCCTCGATCAGAAAGAGGTAGCGGGGGGCCGGGAAGAGAAGGGAGTACTTCCCCATGGCGCTGCCACTTTGGAGCCTGGGGCCAGGTCCCAAGCTCCACGTGGCACTGTTGCTTTGAAATGCTGTGCGTAGCCCAGGGCCAGCTGGAAGCTCCTAGCTGCACGGAGTGTTGTTCAAGTGGCAACACCGCATGGAGCCCGGGGTCAGCGGGGGAGTCCCCAGCTGACCCCGGGCTCCACACAGCACTGCCTCTTTGAAACACTGCATGCAGCCTGGGGTTCCCAGCTGGCCATGGGCTGCATGCGGCGTTTTAGAGCAGCAACGCCATATGGAGCTCAGGGTCAGCTGGGAACTCCCCCGCTGGCCCCATGCTCCCCGCGGTGCTTTCGCCTTTGAAGTGTAGGAAGAGCCCTGGGGCTGTTGCTACACTTCAAAGGTGGAAGCGCCCTTATTGACTAAAGGTGATATAATCAAAATTTTATGTCCCTACTTACAGAGCTAGAGAACCATCAGTTCCTAGGACACACACAATTGTTAATTCAAAAATTCCTTCTTGCTGTAGTTGCTATTGGGTACTATTACTTTTATAACTGTATCACTAAAAATTGAAGCTTGCCCGGTTGAGATACATCAGAATCACATTCTGTATAATACGGAAATTCTGCTAAAAGTTTCCTCAATAAATCCTGGTTTAGTATTATAGTAGAGGCAAGATTTTCAAACTGATACCTTCTGGAGAAATAAATGATTGATTATAAGGTGTCTTTCATTTTTTGTGTGGCTATATTGGTACTAAATTTACTAAATCCCAATTTTAGGATAGATGTGTGGAACAGAGTTTGTATCCAGTGCACTCAGTGTGGAATTTGGTTAGAAAGAAGCAGATCTCAAATCTGGGGTTATTGGTGTTTACTATCTTACAGATGGGGTCGAGGATTTGGTCTGTTGGGTTCCATCTTTGGGAAGGACAGTGCAATAAATCAGCCAAACAGTGTCTTTGGACTTGTATTTTATATACTACAAATGTTACTTGGTAAGTAATTCCATTTATGGTCTAAAATATATAATGTTGGTATTAATAAAACAGGACATTGATATAAACATTGCTAAACCTGGATGAAACCATGGTGAATTGAACTGGTCTGAGTCAGTTTACCCCAGTCTAGCTTTCCAGCCACAGTGGTTTCACTATAGAGGCTACTAATATAGCAAACTAGCCATATTGTTCACGCCAACTAGCCACACTCAACCGGGCAAATAGCCACGTGTTGGACATCATGATTCTATATCATTAATATAAGCATTGGCATAAAGACTGTGTGTGGCAAGGAGGCAAAAAAGTGGGATGAGATGTGTGACTAGAACACACATGAAAATCCATCTCTGCCTGGTCCCTGTAATCTGAATAAAACCAATACAAATGTTCATAGACCTAACCTGATCAACCTGTAACTTTCCTATAATTCAGAATATGAAATGATAAAAATACCACTTGTACTGCTGATTTTAAAAATACAGAACCTAGAAACGCTGCTCCAGATTGTGATTTGCAACCAGAGTGGTCTCATGGTATTTTAAACAGAGCTCTATGAATAGTTAAAATTTTAGTCCTCAGTGTGTTTTTTGGTTTTGCTTTCCCTCTGGAATGAAGGCATTAAAGTAGCAATAATAACTTTCTGTCTTTTGTTGCAGGTATGACAGCAAGTGCAGTAGCAGCTCTAATCCTCATGACATCCTCCATAGTGTCAGTAATAGGGTCACTGTACCTAGCATACATTCTGTACTTTGTGCTGAAGGAATTTTGCATTATTTGCGTCACCACATATTTGCTGAACTTCATTCTCTTTATCATCAACTACAAACGACTAGTTTACTTGAATGAGGCCTGGAAACGGCAACTCCAACCAAAACAGGAATAACGAGTTTGAACTTTTGACTGATAGTCTGAAGACCTGACTTCCATTTAAGTTTGTTTTGCAGTAATTTTTATTTTTCATATCAGACACTTTCCCCAAGAATCATAACTGATTTTTTTAAATAACTGTAAATTGGAAGGGGCCCTAGATAATTTCTGTGCTAATCTTCTATTTAAATATGGCTATACAAGAGAAAGCTCTAATACAATCAAAGACAAGCTTTAACTTTACTTTGAAGAAGTTAATTAGCCACACAAAATCTAGACTTCTTGTAAATTGGGTAACGCTAGAAAATATCCTGTGTATAAATTCAATTTCAGATATAACAAGATGGATCATGACATTTAAATATGCTAGAATAGTAGTACCATATTTAATGTTGCCATGTTTACAGTATGCATATTACATTTTTAGCAGATGGACTTAAACCTGTAGATTTGACTAAAACATGATATTGTAAATAACTAGAAATACTGAATCCATTCCTGCAGAATTCTCACTGTACAGTCAATTTTGTTAGTGTAGCAACTTTAAGAATGTTCAGCTTATAGTTGATTGATTGAAATAATGGAAGGAATGAGCCCACATAGATATTGTCTTGTGAGAAGCACTAGTAGTAGTGCAGCAACACAAGTGAGGTTTGCTCCATCCTTTTCCCTATTAATGAAGATGGAATTAAAGCGAAAACTTCAGGTATATCCAGTAATGGAATTACGATTTAATATCTGTATAGAATGAAGATTGTTTAACATGGACTAAAAGAAGTCACCATTGGGGAAATTAATACCGGAAGGGCATGGTATTCTGAAACTGGAGAAACATCTTGTAGAAGATATCTGAGAAGCCATTGTAAGAAGTGCTAACATTTTGGGCGGATCTGTGTTCCATTTTAAACTGGTGTCAGGCAGCTCAACAATTTGACATTACATTGGAAGGCTGCGAAACAGAATTGTCATTTACAGTGGGTCCCAGAGACTGACTAAGCTTGTTGAGTAATGCACTGACTAAACAAATTTCACTGATCTTGTTCAGGATCTTTGATTTGTGTTATATTTAGAAATGAACTTTAGGACTGACACGTATTGGCCTTTCAAGGGGCCTTATCTGTTTAAGTGGGATAAGTAAGCAAACATGCTCTTGAAAATGAATCACAGGAGTGCTATCATTGCTCTTTCTAATAATTAATTTTAAAAAGTAAACAATTTTAAACAGTGTTTCTACCCTCAGTATCCTGAAGTAGAATGTTGAAAGTGCCTTCTGTCTTGAATTGTTAAACCAAATGTTTTGTGTGTTGAACTTGGCAGGCAGAAGTGTCCTTGCTATTTAACAAATACAAAACTTACAATATGTAGAAAAGTATTCAGTGGTGCGGCTTAGTCTCTAGAATGAGAAGTGGTAGCAATGTGATTGGTTCCTGTTCATTTAAGCCAATGTGTTAGACAGCGAGACACCCATGGGGCTGATGATCTGATACATCGTTTACCCTTAAAAAAGCTAAATACTCTATTTCTGAAACTTGGTGAATCCAGAGTACAGTGATTCATCAGTTTCTCACAGCTGGTGCCATGCTTTTTCTGCCCTCATGTCAGCTAGGTTGATCTAGATCTTTTAAAGATTATATCTTCAGATTTAGAAGCCAGTTTAGTTGATTCTACTAAATGTGAATCTACTTAAGGGATGCTGTTTTTATGTGTTGTACTGTAAAATGGATTAAACACTAAAGCATTGAAAAACTTAATTGTGTGAAAGTATGATGTATAATAGTGATAATAAATATTTAGGATGACTTCACATCAGTATTTAAATTACTGAGGAGGTAACTGTCTGGTTTTTACCTTGGAGGCAGGTGGAAATTGGTTTATGAATGGAGTTCTATGGTATATGAGTAACATCTGTTACATGTAACACTAAACAATGTCTTTTGTCTAACAACTCTAGACAGGTACTCATTAAATACATTTTGTATTAATTTGGAGTAGAGCTAAAGCTTGTCTTGATGTTTAGTTTTCTCTCAAATGCCTTGAACTTTGACGTGAGAAATGTTAAATTGGGCACCTCCACACTTTACCCTCCTTGCTCGTGGTTTGGGGAAACACCACTGTTGTATGGATTTGTTTTGAAATGTTCATGCAATCTGCATATATCTCTTCAATGAAAGAAAAGATGAACATGTGCTGCTTGAAATGATTAATCACAACGCTAATAGTGTGAGAATAAGCAGCAGTGGAGAAAAGTATAATAAATGATTATTTGGTATAATTAATGACTTAATGCATAAAACCCCTCAAACCATCCACAGAAAATATAGGTGTTGACTATCTTCACTGTGTCCCTGTGCTTAACTGTGTGGGCATAATCTGTCACTTCAGAGATTGTTCAGCAGACTCATCCAGGGCTAGATTTCCAAAAGGCACCCTCCTGTGGCTCCTGTTTGCAAGTATATCAGGCTTGACCCCCATAAGAGTTTGCAGCTATGCTGTGTGCACACTCTTGCAAATCTGACCCTTAATTTAAAATCTTTCATGGGTGCTTTTCTAGTGTTTACTTTATATTTCATCTTAACATGGAAGTAACACTTGCTAGAAAAATGACCTCTTCCTCTTGTGTTCCTCTTTGTCAGAGAAACTGCAATTTGTCTTAAAGGGAAAAACAATTATATTCTTGGTAGAAATTTATACCCTGCTTGTAACCTGCTTCCAAATCTTGACCTCTCCTCTTCACTGCTGTCAATGAGAGAGCATTTTTCTTCCAGTAAAACAGCTCAGGTCATAATTAGAAATATGCCAGGTATCAGACTAGTACTTATTCCAGCCCCTTCCTGACCCAGAGTCAATGTCATACCAAATGTACCAACGGATGATAATTTGAGCTTTTCCAAATTAAAGGAAACTTCTGGTAAACTTTCATAGAAAGATTGGGGTACGAGAATACAGCAAAATGCTGACACATGATATCCAGACTTAAATAAAACAAAAAAAACCCTCAACCCCAACTATGGCCTCAGCACTCATAGGTTTGTGCTTTCTTCAAAATACACATTTGGATTTCTACTCTTTCAGGTTTTGGAGGAGAGGGAAAAGAATCAAATCCCAAGACTTGCTTAAGAAGCAAACATTCCTGAAAAGTCTTGTTACTGTAAGATATTTGCTATAAAAAGGCCAATGAAACATTTCCCACCGCTTTTTAGTATCTGAGGTGAGAACAAATCTCTCCATTTTGGAGGAGAGAAATTTCTGTATGCTGTAGTACTCGTCTTCTGCTGTACTAAGTCTCTGATAGGTCTTGATTGGTAAAAACGGTTGGTTAGGTGCTTCAGGAGGCAAGTGTGGCTCCTAATTTTGTTTGAACTAAACTTAAATAAACAATCTGATAAAACTTGACTTTGGTTTAGCCAACATTGTTTAAACATAATCTAGACAAAAAACTAGTCCAAAAAAGTGAAGTATTCTGTTACCGTAAAACTGTATTAAGCATGGCCTAAATATTAGGTGTGTGTTCTGTATAGTATGTTCCATCTAATATTTATTACTAGTGCTTTAAACTCCAGAGTGAACATCCTTTTAAAGTGGAGTCATTGGGCAGATGTTCCTTTAACAGTATAGGTCGAGAGACTCTATATCAGAGATTTAGAATACAATTTTGCTAACAGGTAAAGGAATCCAATGTAAATATATGAGAATGTTTATTTGTTGCACAACTTTTTTGGTATAAAAAAATAAATGTAGAAATTACCTGTGGATGTCTTGCTGCAATCATTCTTATACTGCAGTAGTGCAGTTCAAACAAAGAGCTTGAATGAACCCAATCAGAGGCCTTTTTGGACTCAGTCTGAGCCTTAGAAACTGTTTTTAAAGCCAGTACTGTAAATTTGTTTGTAGAAATGTACTCAGTTGTGATTTCTTTTTTCAAAAGAAGATATGTTAGCAGTAGAAGGTTGAAGCATTGAGTCCCCAGAGATACTAGTGCAGAAATTCCTGTAGCTTCATTGTGTATTGGTGAATGTTGTGTGCACATAAGGTGTAACGGTTGAGCAGCACTGATGTGAGGATTTGCTGTTTACAGTTCTTCAAGCAACATGCAAACACCATCTTGGGTATGTTACTTTAATCACTTCCTGTTTTGTTATGCCTAAAGATCTGCTTTAACTTCACTCTGACAATGTCTAAGTATTCTAACCTGCAGTATATAGTCCCTTTTTTATTTAAGTTTGCAATGAGCTTTGGAGAACGTAAGCAGGAAATGACTCTCCTTAATATGTGTGTTTACCATATAAATCGATGTTGAACCCTTGCCATCTGTTTTGTTGGATTGAACAAATGTGTAGCTTTTTTTTTACTGAAATTTCAAATCCTGTACATATTGTAGGGATCTAAGTCCTAGTTTGTAATACATGAACCATGTCAAATCTGTGTCTGTATCTTGATGTGGCTGCTGTTGGTATGTCATTCTGTCAGTGCTGAAATGGGGAAAGAAACTTAAAAAACCAATTGACATTTAGAAATTAAGGTTTTAAAATAACTTTCAAACCGTGGTAATGAGATTAATATGGTATTCAGTAAGGTACTGGATAACATTTGAGTGACTGCTTTTTAACATGGATACACTTTTTTATATTCTGAAGTGGAGTTCATTAGGAAATCTGTAAAATGAATACAATATAAACATGCCATACTCATAGTATGGGTTTTCTTTTGCAAACCAAACGATCGTTTTAGTTCTGTAGCGAGTATATATTTCCTTTTTTATCACCGCACGTGGCAGTCAGAATTGCCCTTGACTTCTAATGTGTTGTTTCAAGAGAAAAGAACACTATATACTACCGTTCAATAAATAGTGGCAACTATTTTCTTTTCTTTGTATATGGGCAGAAATTTAAGTCACCTAGGTCAGGCCATAAGGAGGAGACATTGCATAAAGGAGAATCATAAGCAATAGTATGTTTAATCATTCTGGCCAGATGATGATGATGTGCAGAAATACGGACCTTAATGCATGTCAGTTACTATCCAAAATCTACTAAGCAACCTCTGTTCAAAAACATGGATTTGGCCAGGGTGGTGCTGCTGTAGGGCTAGATTTACAATCTATCTGTAAGACACTTTTATAACTACCTCCATTCACTGTACTAGTTTTAGATTAGACACTACTGATAAGGTCTTCTATGAAGACCTAGGCGTCCTCTTACCTTCTATTCTAAAACCTTATCTCTTACTTGAAGGCTGGCACCCTGAATTTGTTACAAAGTAGATAAATCTGCATATTTTTAATTTCAACATCTTTCTGCCCAAAAAATTCAGGGTGCCACAGTATTTTGTTTTCATACCAGTGTTATGTGATAGTGCTCATGTCAGACTTGGACAAAGTTAACCTACCTACTGAGACTACTACTATGGTTTGATCTCCAAATGTGAATTAAGCTCCTCCATGTTGAAAGTCAGAGCTACAGCTCATCCTTGTAGTCCTAGTCGGGAAGTTCATACTTAGAAATAACTAGAGCAGAAATACAGATACATTTATCTATACTATAGACTGGAGTGGTAGAGTAGATGCTACTGTGGTACGCTGAAACTGCCTACTATAGTACAGATTTCAAGCTAACTAGACTTTGTTGTGTACGTTTATAGTAGAACAACTCTAATAACTTAAAATACATATCTTGAGGCACCAGAAGGTAGAAGGGAAATGGTGATTCCTTCAGAACATAGCTAACAGGAAATCTATTTTCAGGAATAGCATATGAAAACACTACATCGTTAAACTCGGGAGAGTTAATTCGTGACTCTCAATCTACCTCTCTCAAATACTTAATGTTAGGTATCCACTTTACCACCTGCAAACATGCAGCCTTTTGATTACTAATTTTCTATAGATTTATTTCACTCTGCCTTGTAAATTAAATAGAACCCATGTTATGGAAATATTTTTATTTTAGAACTATTTCAGACACTTAAACTGTGCTATTTCTGTAATATTAGACTTTGGTAAAATGTAAATATTAAACAAAATATTTAATGAAAACATTAGAACTTAATACCCACTCACAAATTGTAATATTTCACTGTTGGGTGGATACAACTTGATTCATTTGCAAGTTTCCAGTATCTGTCTCTTAGAATAAATGCAGCGGCCTTTGGTTGTCGTTGCCGGGTGAAGATCCCCTTCTTGTTCCCTAAAACACGAATGACTGCTGTAGATAGAAAAATAAAACAGGTGTCTTACAAAAGACTCGCAAAAGAACGCATCTGTGTTCAGAATAAAAAACCTTTCTTGACTGACTGACTGACTGACTCTAATCAAAGTGATAAGACTAACTCTTCAGCCAAAGGAAGGACTGTTAGTACCATCTTTTCACAACGAAGTTATAAAGAAGGAACGTTAGTAGACGACTCCCCCTACCCCCATGGAAGATGCCTATTGTACATGAAGACTGTCTAAGTGAGAGAGACTGGCATCATTAACATACATGCTTCCACAGGTTCACAGCTCTCCAATGAGTTGTAAATGGCTTAAAGTGAGCCTGTGAATGAGGTGTACTATTAACTAAATCAATTTTAATTAAGCAAGCGTTTAATAGTCCATGACTAGTATAATCAGATTGCTGGCGGTGGGTGGGTTTGTGTCTGCTCTATTTCCAGAGTTAAATTTCACAGAAGAACATTACTTTGATACTCCATTAGATATTCTTCATTTGTTGCTCTTAATCCCCCCCACCCCCCATACTGCTGTTCATGCCCTCTTGCCCAGTGTGCTGGTCCCTTGTTCAGTTTTTAGTCACACCAGTCCAAAGGACAGGTCTTCTCCATGTGGTCTCCATTTCCTCCAGGCGGTGTGTGGAGCCCAAAGCTACACTGATTTGTCATTGTAATTTTCACTCTTCCTTTTGCAGTTTCCAGTATCTTTTCCCCACTGGTCCTAATTTCTTTAGGCCCATGTCTGTCTGGTCTGTTTAGAGCCTTTTCTCTCTCATGCCGATAGATTCTCTTTATTGTGGCTGATCCTCTGCCCTTGGAACATGCAAGACTGGCTGTACACTAGTGATGGATACAGTGGCATATGACATGAACTGCTTTTACCATCATGGCATCTAGCGTGGCCATGCATAGGCTCTGTGGCAACTGAGAGTGCTACCTGCAGCGTGTGTCCTGCACCTTAAGTTTGCAAGTGTAGGTGCAGCAACCATGAGGGGAGTTACTTGCATAACATGTACCGCATCACTGAGCAGTCTGAAAGTAGAAAAGGATGGCTGAGGTTGAGTGTTTTGGGAAGGAGAGTGGAGCAGGAGGAAAGAGAACTGTTGGGTGTCTCTGCAGCCTTCGCTTGCATTCTGTCCTAGTGCACCATCAGCACTTGGCATAGCATATGGCACACCTCATATCCAACCTAGCAACTGACCATCCAGCATAGGAAATGCTGCTTTGTGATTAGGTCTTAGCCATGTGCGTGACTTGGTCATGCAGAAATGTAGTCCCATCCCCCCCGCTTTAATGCAAGAATCAGACATGAACCAGTACAACACATTTCTAGAGAAACAGCAAAACCAGAATATTTCCATTTTAAGGACTTTTGCCCTAGTTTGAGCAGGAGAGTCAACAAGCCTGTGAGGGTAGTAGTCTAGCCACGGTTCAGTGAGTAACTGTAATGGAAGAGTAGAGAGATTACCTTGCTCAACATACTACTTTGTGACAAGGCTGTGCTCTCAGTCCTAAATCCTCAATGTCTCTGTGCTGTCATTGGAGAGAGAAATACAGGGACCAAGCTGTGGGAGGAGGCTACAGTGAATATTTCTGAAGTTCTTTGGGAAAAGGATGCTTGCCATGAAAGGGGGTTTTAAACACATCAGCTGGCCACACGAGCTGCCAAAAGGATAGCCTCATCTGGAGTATTACAGGAAGCAAAAATGCTTGGCTGTTCGTATATAAAGAACTTGCCAGGGCGGACTGTGATCTCTTCTGCACCCACCGTCTGGCTACCGCTCAGCTTTAACCTCAGTGTTTGTGTGGGGCTTGCGGGAGGATAGTTCTATTTTGTAGCGTATCTGACCCTCACCAGCTTCCTAAAGACTGGAGCGGTTTGTTCTGTGTATACAGAGCAATGGCAATATGTCTATAACAAGACATGACAAAGCTGCTGTTGATTTCTTTACGGGGCTTATGCCCTTTTGGCAGTTCTCTGGAGAGAAAGTTTAAAAGTTTAAGGAACCTTTTGGGATAGGAGACTGTGCTAGGCATCTTTGTCTCTTTCTGAGCCAGTAGCCTAATTACTAGAGCACACTCTTTGTTCTGCCCCCAAAAAGCTTTTTATGTGGAGAAAAATGACAAGGAAACTTCTAAATAAAGGTTATGCCATATTTAACAGTCTTCGGTGCCACACAAACTAGCTACGTTTTCTACAACATCTGCTTGTAGTTAAACTTTGTACCCTCAACTCATAATGTGAAAGCTGTGGTGTCCGGGGAGAAAATACTTACCTTTCCATTTGCAGCTTAGATATATAATGGACTCTCAGCCTACCTTGCGCTGTCATAAAATCAGCAAAATTCCAGATGAGCTCCCCAATCACATATTCCTTTCTCTTTTTGTCAAATACTGAATGGTATTTCTGTAGCACAGCCTTATGGTATTCCTCGCTGAACATAAGAGGTGGGTCCTGAAACCAGGGAAGGGAAAGAAGACTCAAACATGGGACTCAGCTGGTGTCAGCAAAGGCTTGTACAGAGTTGTACAGTTATTCATTTGCTTTATACACTGCTGAAGTATAGCTATATCTATGGAATGTGGTAGTGGTTTAACAGAGGCTAGTAGTACCAAAGAAGGACAGCTAATTGAAACTGCCAGGGAAAGTTTACTAGGTTTATCTTCTATCTCTGCTGGCAGCTCCTTTTTGATTCATGAGGGAGAAACTAGCAACTAGAAACCTTTTTGATTAATTTCTGAATGTACTTCATGGCAATGGGTTGTAAAATGCTACATGTAAATGATTTCTCTGAAGCTACACAATCTAATCACCCAATAATTTTCTACCCAGCACTGTATCTTATTGTTTGCTGAATATTCTCCACAAATGCCAAAGCACTGAGAGAATATTCTAAGATGCATCTTCTGGAGGTTTGATCACAAAAGTGTAAGTCTGTGAGTTAACTGCAGCCAACTGTCAATGAGTCATCTTAAAAGGAAAACTGCAACATAGCATAAGAGCCAATTAATGATTTAGACTTTGTAAACTGGTTTATTTTAAGCAGTGTTTTAAATAAAGGACTAGCTACCACAATCAAGTGTAAAGCTTGACTGTCTTGCAAAGGGGACAAAAACCAATTAAAGGAGGCTAGTGGCCCTGCTTATGGAAATGTATTAGTGGTCTGCAGCATATACCAGTGCTTTAACATAGGCTTGTCTCCCTTACAGCCAGGATTGATACTACATTGGTTAGTCCACAGCGTTGATTTAATGGGTCTAGTAAAGACCTGCTAAATTGATCACGGATCACTTGGATGTAGACACCAGTACTCTGCTGGAATGAGACGAGTAAGGGGAGTTGATGGGAAAGTTGTTTTCTCATCAAAGTGTAGTGTGTACCCCACTAAGCTACATCAACTTGAGTTATGCTACTAATGTAACTCGTATTGCGTAGCTTTTTCCGTACTGTAGACCTGTCGTTAAAGAGCTCATCTCCTCAGGTGCTTTCTTAACCCCATTGAAATAAAGGGCAAAATTCACTGACTTCAATGGGGCCAGTGTTTCAACAGTAGAGTCCAGTATAATTTGCATGGCAGCTGAGGAGTTTATTACCCATTGTATCTAGCATGTCTCAGACTTAAGGGGTCAGAAAACATGGGTTGGTTGCAACTGAGCCTTCCTCCCTGATAAGCACTGTGTTTCCCAAACTGACATAGCTATGAAACTCACATTGTGAAGCCCAGCAATAGAATCTGCTCCGTATTCACTCTGGATAATTGGCTTTTGGTAGGTTTCATACCAGTTCTCAAACTGTGTATTGAGTTGTAGTTGAATAACCTCCAGATGGCCGGAGTCGTGGTACCAGGAGAAGTAGCTATTTACGCAAATTACATCCACGTATGGAGCCTAGAGAAATGAGAGTAATGTTTGGAAGAAATGCCAGAGTGACTTACGTATGTTCACAAGGCTACATCCCTCCCTGCTGTAGTTTCACTGACCTCGATTGTTACACGTAGGAGCAATTTGGCCCTCAGCATTTTAAAACAAAATGAGCCTGCCCAATGTTTTTTCCCCAGGGAGAAAAAAACCAAGAGCAAACTCACTGGGTTAAGTAGTTTTCCCCATCAGCCAATGTTAATTTGGCATTTTCTTGCAGATTAACTGTCATCCTTAGGTTTGTTAGTCTTTTTGAAAGTGCAAGATGTGTGTCGGATCTGGTTGTGCATTTAAACATCCTTCTTAACTTATTTAATAACATGATGATCAACTTAGTGATCAATTACGTTGAATGGTGACTAAGTTCATGCATCAGTGGTGTAATTTAAGATTTAACATTCTGCAAGTGATATGCCATTTCTACCACAAGGACAGTATGACAGGGCATTAGCCCACTGAAGATAAACAGTGCTGTTATATGTAACTTATCGAATGTTCTCTTAATATGTTTTGTAATAAAGTTCTGATACCAGAATGACAGTGTACAAGTTCTTTAACTCTCCTTTGTCTCCCTGTTTGCCTGGAGGCCTGTCATCAAGCATGTACGTATGTTCTAGCTTGTGATAGATTAGGGTAATCAACAGCAGTACTCTCCTTGCTATGTTTGAAACCGTAATCCCACTGGTTATGATCCTACACCAATGGAAGAAAAGTCATAGCTTTCTAAATGTACAGACAGTCACACGTTTGCTGTAGGACAGCCGAGTTTATGTAGCGGAAAGGCTAGCTTACTTGGAAAAAGAAAATGAAATGTGATTTCTTGCAAGTACTTGTGAAAGTCATTCATATACCCATGTGATATGTAGTCACACACACTCATCCTCTAAACTAGACTTGATTCAAAGACTTAGTTCATTAAAAACATCACACAAAGCCTTTTCTGTTGTCTTCAATTTTCAAAGATAAGACCAGTTTTCAAACATGAGCACTTAAACCAAGCCCTTCAGTTCTGCAGGGAGGGTCTCCACAGTGGGATGTAGCTGACAGAGCCATTCCTGGGCCAACTTCTCCACAACAAAAACCCCACTGCAGCGAGTCTCAGTCCAGGTCCGCTCAAATCCAAATACCCTTGCCCCGCCTGAGGCCCTGCCCCTGCTCACTCCATCCTCCCTCCCCATCTCACTTGCTTTTATCAGGCTGGGGGCCGGAGTTTGGGGGGCAGGAGGGATTTGGGGCTGGGGTTTAGAATGTGAGCACCAGCTGAGCACTGCTTACCACAGGTGGCTTTTGGGTGGTGGTGCCCCTACCCTGGTCCTACACAACTTCCAAAGCAGCCAGCAAACTCTCCGTCCCTGCCCCCTTCTGCTCTGTGGAGATGGGGTACATAGTGGAGGGAGAGGACATCCTGACGACAGCACCCTCTCCTCTTCCTGTGTCCTGCACAGCAAGCAGAAGCCTCCAAGGGAGAGGGCCGGAGCAGCACGGCAGTGCTGAGAGGGATCGATGAAGTGCCAGTACTTGATAGTCTCCCGGCCAAACCTCTCAGAATCACCTGTCAAAGGCTCCAAGATCTAGCAGTAGCTCCCAATCTACTGATTGGTGACCACTGGACTAGGGCCTCCAGTCAAGCTTGGGCAGTGGTTAGATTATGGAAAGCGAACAGACATCTGCCCAAGAAGAACAGCAGTTTGCAGTCAGTGGAGATAAAACATTCTTTACTTTCTTGGGGCCCCCTCCCGTTAAGAGGTTTTATGCTGAGCCAAGTGAGAGGCTCAGGGGTTAATAGGCACAATAAAGAGTGAAACAACAAAACATCTGCAATAGGGTTATCTAATTACACGGGGTCTGATCCCGGACCATTACAGTCATTCTACTGGGCTCTATTTTGTCTGGCCATACGTGGGTCAGAGTGAAGCAAACATTCCTAGACTGGGAAAGAAGATGGTTATTCCACATGAATAAAACCTGCCCCTGCCCAGCTTTATTTAAAAAAAAAGAAAAGAAAATAAATTAAACTTACACCATGATCATGAGCGTAATTAGCATTTGACACAAAGGTTACAGGTCTGGAGGGATCAATGGCTTTAGTGTGAGCTATCACTGTCCTGTTTACAAACAGTAAAATACAAGTGTCCATCACCAAAAAGGAGAAACAGAAATCAGAGAACTCTCCCATTCACCCCACCAGTGTTTAAAGCAGCAGTGTTTAGTTCAATAGGAATGTTGAGAGTGACACTAGGCATGTCCTGGATGGTGTTTATCCCCCTCCCACAGCCCATCTACATGACATGGAAGGTCGATGCTGCCGTGGTTGATCTGGGGTTCGATTTAGCAGATGCAGCATAAACCCGCTAGATCGAACTCAAAGGACACACCCGTGGCCGCCAGTACATCTACTCACAAGGAGTAAGGGAAGCTGATGGGAGCATTTGCTCCCAGTGGCTCCCGCTGCATGGACAGGGATTTAAGACCCCAGCTATGTAATTCACATAGTTGCGTATCTTACTTCGACCTAGCTAATACTACTGGGCGGGAAAAGCTTCTGGAGAGGAGACAGTTTAGCCTGGGTGAAACATACCCATTGCTCAAATCTTGGAGAGGGGTCTCTCTCCATAAGATGACAAGCATAACTTGAAAGGAGTCGGGAGTGGAGCCTCCAAAGGTGAGGCAGCCGGCCCCCGTGAGAACAAGTGAGTGGTGTTGCTCTGATAATCACAACCCCTTCAGGGTGCAGGCCCACGCTGTGCTGGCCGCTTCCAATGAAATCCCTAGAGTTAAGCCAGCAGAGAATTTGGATCCTGATTTTCTGGATTGAACCTTAGTCTTGAAGGAATCTCATTCCAAACGGATTCCTGATGGCTCCAGACTTAGCTCAGAGAATGCTGCTGTGGGGCATTCAACTCAATGTGCAAACAGTGTATGTGCTGGGGAAATATGTGGCAGTGAGTACACAAGAACATTTATACAAATTCCTCAGCTTCACAAAAACTCTGAACTAGCTTAAGGGATCTTACTGCTAGATTCCTGAAGAGCTGCCAGCCTTCCCACTGCAACAGTGGCTTACCTGAAAATGTACGAGGCACGTCCCTTGCTACCGAGTCTCCATATCCACGCACAAGAACACACACTTACTTAAAGTAGTAAGCTGCTGGGGTTAGCTCTGAGGCTGGTTCATTGGCTACAGACCACATCACAACCGAGGGCCTGTTCTTATCCCGCCGGATCAGCTCTTCCATCACCGTGAGATGGTGGGCCAGCGATTTATTACCAAAGTTCTCCCTCAGAGACAAAAGAAATGAGAGCAGATCAGTAAAACGCTAAAGAAAACTCACCTCACATCCATCACTGATGCTAACAATCTAGTGATCCTGAAGCAATAGGGACTGAAATCCCTAAGTCATTCTGCTCCAGAAATGAAGTTGATCCTGTATCTCTAGATGGGGATCACTGTGGTTCTGCAAGTAGTTGGCTTGTTAGATGTTCTAGCAAAACAAGTTTCACTTCACACATCCCTCACACTGCGAACCGTCACCCTCTTCTCACGAGCCAAAGCCTCTTTCAACTTACTGCTTAAAATTCACACTTTTTTATTCCAAACAAGAGCTTTTGAGCCAAATTTCCTCCCACACCCACACACATTGTGGTAAGACATAGTTCACCTTTGCAATGTATTTGGCATACAAGTGTCCTATGCCCTGTTCCAGCCAAAGGCTGCAGGGTACTTTAGGAATGCAAGTCGGTCCCATCTAAAGTGATCTTGCTGGGTTGATTTAGTTGGGATTGGTCCTGCCTTGGGCAGGGGGCTGGACCTCTTCCAGTCCTAGGATTCTAGGATTATGTTAACCATGTTGAGAAACTGCCCTGCTGTTGCCTGGTCCCTCACACCAGAGCGTATGGCCAGAGCCAGCCTTGTCATGGGTTGGTTCCGAAGTGGCAGTCACCACACGTTCAGCTGAGGTCAGCAGGGGCTGTGGATGCTCCCCACACCTGACAAGCCATGTCCCCAGGCAGGGGCCCTGCACAGTACCCAGCACCGCTGGGGCTCAGGACATAGCAGGGAGAAAGACCAAGCGTGGCGAGAGCTTCCAAGCGATTCCTTACTGATCTCGCATCCCCACGGCTGGGCACTCGTCGATCACCACGATGCCGTACGCGTCACACAGATCCATGATCTCCTCTGCATAGGGGTAGTGGCTAGTGCGGAAGGAGTTGGCCCCAAGCCACCGCAGTAGGTTGAAATCCTTCACAATCAGTGACCAGTCCAGGCCTTTGCCGCGGATCTGGGGGAAGCAGGCAGGACAAGCAGGGGTGAATAAGAATTCGGGAATACTTTCCTGCACACTTGCACCTTCCAGAGCAGGGTCTCAAAGTGCACTCAGTTGCTTCCCAAGGGCTGCCGTGTGTTACACCTCTGGGATCCCGGCTGGTGCCATCTGCTCCCTGCTCATTTTCCCTGGGTAGAGGGCCATGATCAGGCGTGCCGAGGTTCCATCCGAGTGGACACCACGAGAGCCTTTCTGCTTCAAATGCTAAAATAGTTATCGGTCAGAGCGAGTTTTAAAAGGCTCCTGCAGAGCTGAAAGGCTCCAGGTTTATGCAAAGCAGCCTGAGATGGGAGAGGGACTGGAGGCTGGAAAAGTCATTACTGGTCATTGGAAGCCAGCTTTGCTGGTTCCACGGGATCAGGTGAGAGCCAGGCAAAGCAACAGGTTTTGCAGCTGCGTAGCCTCAAACTAGAGTGTGTGCCTAAGTTTCCCCCCTGTAAAATGGGGATAATACTTCCCGCCCTTTCTTTGGCTTGTCTATTTAGCTGGGATGCTCTTTAGGACAAGGAACAGCTCTCAATAGGCATCTCCGCATCTAGCGCAACGGGGCCCTGGTCTCATCCGGGGCTTCTGTTTGTCTCGCACGAGGGTGTGAACAGCCTGGATGTCTCAGTCCTCAGTGCTATTGCAGCTGCACATGTGCATGTGGGCAAGGGGCCGGCGGTTTCAGCAGATTACGGTGGGGCTACCGCGAGGGGCTTCCCACGCCTCACCCCCTTCTGTGCTCTTACGTCAGCATCCTCGTGCTTGTTGACGCCATGGAAGTAGAAGGGCTTTCCGTTGATGAGGAACTGGCTGCGGGTGACATGTACGGTGCGGATCCCGACGGGGAGCGTGTACAAATCTTCCAGCGACTCCCCGCCCGCCTGCGCCAACAGCGTCACCTGCAGCCCCACAGAAACCAGCCTCCATGTTAACCCCGTGAGCCCAGAGGATACGCTCAGTTCTACCTCCCGCTCGGCCCCACGCACGCAGCCCTGCCCCCACAGGCCATGGGCCCCCAACCATTTCACAGCTGCGCCAGCCCCGTCTCTGAGCTCTCCTAGGCTGGCGGCTCCCAGCTGGTTCTGTCACACTCCCAACCTGCCCTCCTGGTGCCACCACCTCACCGCTTGGTCTGAGGAAGGCTCAAGCCAGGGAAAGTGGCCCCAGTAGGAGCCCAGGCTAGGGGAGGCAAGCTGGCTGGCTTGGGACTTGCTCCTTCCAAGAGCTTGGACCTGACACCCAACCCCACAGCCAGAACCCTCCATCTGGTACCAGAATGCTCCTCTTCCCAGCGCCCAAGCCACAGACTGGAATTTAGCCGCTCTGAGGCCGCAAGCACCTGGGTCTTTGCAAACTGGCTGGGGTTAATGGATCTAATCGCCAAACCCCACATCTCATTTAAATCCCCAGCCAGGCAGAGGAGAGACAGACAGACAGACAGACAGCTCGTCTCTGCCACGATCACAAGCCAAAAATGAAAGTGTATTGCTCACTGCAGTTGTTAAATGTGTGCAGCGGGTGGATCCAGGTGGGATTATTTATCCCCTCTCTTTCTCCCCGCGAGGTCTCCCTCTCTGTCCTTGTCAGGTTCTTGTCCAGATCTTGCTGAAGTCCGTGGAAAGACGACTTCCCTGGACTTCAGTAAAAGATGGACCAGGCCCTTCGACAAGACAGCAGTGATGATCACAAGCACTGGGGTAAGATTGGGAAGCCAATAGCCTGGCATTCCCTCCCCACACACCCCGTCCTCTCGTTCCAAGTGGCCTGACTTTCTGCTTAGTAAGCCAAGAGGTTAGCAAAATGGGATGAGCAGCTCAGGAATGGGCAGGAAGAAAAACGTGAGCAGGAGCCTTTGGCTTGGAGGGTTAAGGAAGACGGGCTTCATTGTGCCCAGGGATTCAGTAATCCCAGGAGGGGAATGAAACGCGAGACAGGCAAAACGAAATAAATGAGATGTTACCTCCAAGTAATAAAGGTATCCAGGGTTTTCGTGCATCAGATAAGGCCACCAAAGCTTTGGATCCACTACTTTCAACTCTCCGACTGTTCCATTTCCCGTAGCAACTACTTTCCCCTCTTTCTCACGGAGAGACAGCGACAAGGAGTAGTGGGTGCTGCCGGCCACCAACACCTGATACCGCACCACACCTACCCCAAAGGAGAGCACGGAGCAAGTTGGAGACGTGTTTCTTGGGGACTCCATCTCTACACACCAAGTCAGCAGTGCTGGGTCCTGCATCACTGACGAGCTACCCGCGGGGTTCCCAGTTATTAATGCACATTCGTTGGAGTTACCCAGATCGTTCCTGCCCTGTCAAAGCCTTGGCTTGGAAGCTGTGTCCTTGAGAGCAACACCCTGCGTTAGTCACTCTCTCACCCACCTTACTGTCTAGGGCAGCGGGCTGCACGTTTTTTCTCACGACCCAGTTGAAAAAAATTGTTGATGCCGCGACCCAACATAATTAGAGTATAGGCTCTAGGGTGGGGCTGAGGATGGAGCTTTGGGGTGTAGGTAGGGGCTCTGGCTTTGGGGGAGGAAGAGATCAGGGCAGGAGGGGCTTACCTTGAGCGACTCCCGGTCAGCGGTGGGCTAAGGCAGCTTCCGACCTCTCCTGGCACCGCTGACCATGCTGCCCTCTAGAGGCAGCCAATGGGAGTATGGAGCCTGCACGTGGGGCAGCGCATGGAGCCCTGTGCGCTCCCCACCACCGAATCTGGGCCTGCTGCTGGCAGTTTCTGGGCTGCAGCACGGTCTGCAGTGCCAGGACAAGTACAAATCTGCCTTAGCCCCCCTCTGGTCACTTGATCCCCCTGAGCAACGAGCCCCAGTGTTGGACACGCCACAGCCCAGCCCTGGGCCGCGACCTGTCATTGGAAAAGCGCCGGCCTGGGGCTTGTGGGGACAGTTCGGCCCCTCAGCCTGGCCCCGGTTATGCAGCTTCACGTCCAGTCCAAAGGGCGGGCGGAAGGCCAGCGCCCGCGGGAATGGTGTCCGCATGGATCACTTTTGCTAAAGCTGCCCCGTTGCTCAGTAGAGAGGCCAAGCCCTGAGTGCAGAGTCTCACCCAAGCCAAAGCTCAGGGGGTGGTGCGGGCGGAGCCGGTACTGCCCCCGTCCCTGCTGACTGTCTCCCGGGCAGGCTGTTAGCACAGTGCCCCTCTCTCTCTCTCTCTCTCCCTCTCTCCCTCCCTCCCTCCCTCCCTCCCTCTCCTTGGAGCTGGCTGCCCAAGGCTACTGTTCCCAGCCCAGCACGGTAAGTTTGCAGCGCACCACGCAATGGCTCATTCGGCAGGAGCCCGGGGTGACAGTCTAAGGGCACAGTCCCAGAAGGGCCAGGGTCTCACCCTTGGGGCATGCGATGGAACAGGGAGCTGTCGGATAGCGGGAGGGGGCTGGCGAGGGAACGCTCCTGGGGACGTTCCAAGTACAGCCAATGGAAAGGGTGGTCAGCAGGAGCAGGCAGCTGAGACAAAGGGAGACTGGTAGGCAAAGCCAGGGATGCGTATCGGGGGATTTGGCAAGCACAGTGAGCCAGGAACGCGCAGGCCTAGGGCGCGGAAAAGGAGAAGCTGACGTTTACCCAGCAGGCAATGCGGGGGCCCAGCGCAGCGTAAAGCTAAGAGGGATAGTGCGTCAGGCTATCACAAAACCAAACATGGAAAGTAATTGGCTGCTGCCCTGCTGCTTAAGACAGTGGAAATCCATGTCCAATTTATTGTAGTCAGGTCCCACAGCTCTCAGAACCGGGGTGGGGGGAAATAATGACACAGCACCCACCCTGGCTTAGTGTCCGCACCTGCCCCAGGGAAGCGACACAGAAAAACACGTCTCTGAGCAGCTGCCCCCAATTTAACACGCAGGGAAAACGAATGACACATCACAAGTGACAACTCTAAACAGAGAGGCCCGTGCACGTGCAAAATGAAATGATCAAACAAGCAAAAATCCCTCCCCTTCCCCAGACCGTTATCTGCCTTTGGAGGTTACTTCTCGAAGGGCGTGTCCACACTGCACTGCTATTTCGACATCATAATGCGAGCGTCTACACAGCCCTTCTGTTATTTCATAAGAATGGATGGCTTATTGGGATTGGTTCTGCCTTGGGCAGGGGGCTGGACTTGATGACCTCGAGGTCTCTTCCAGCTCTAGGATTCTATTCCAAAATCTGTCAACCTCATTCTGCGAGAAATAACGCCTTTTCCGAAATAGCTATTTCCAAATAAGCTCTCACCAGGGCCATTCTAAGTTATTCCTCCCCGGTGCCTCCTGGGGATCTAAATGGAGGTAGCATGTCCACATTAGGGAAGCCTGCCTTGAACTCATTTTGAGCAGTGTAGACATGCTATTTTGGAATAACTATCCCGGAATAGCTTCTTTCAAAATAAGGGTGTGTCTAGACTACTGAGTTTTGTCGACAAAAGTGGACTTTTGTCGACAAAACTATACCAGCGTCTACACTACCGCTGAGTTCTGTCAACATAACGTCGACAGAACTCAGCAGTTTTGTCGACGCTGGTATACCTCATTTTACGAGGCATAACGCCTTCTGTCGACAGAGTTCTGTCAACAGAAGGTGTTATTGCCTGTAGGGTTGCATCTAGACTACAGGGTTCTGTCGACAAAGCAGCTTGCTTTGTCGACAGAACTGAATGTGTCTGGACGCTCTTTGTCGACAGAAGTTTTGTCGACAGATACTGTCGACAAAACTTCTGTTGACAAAACGCGGTAGTCTAGACATACCCTAAGCGTGCAGTGTAGATATACCCTAAGGGATATGAGCCGCTTTAGCTGGATTTTGATATTCTTTGTGTATCTAGAAGATGACAGCCATCGGACATGGCTTTAAAGCTGATGGCAATTGCAGGCACTCTGTCTATATACACTAATGTCCCCTCTGATACTGGGCTTGTCTGTGTCAACATGGCGTTGACTGTCTTTGCCTTTTTACCTCCCTGTTGAACTAAAATTCCAAGGGGTCGCGACACTTGATGGTTCTCTAGTCACAGGGAAGCGACTGCCCAGAAGAACCAGCCTGCACTTACTGAGCACTGGGTCACCTGGTGGGGGGAGCTGGCTGATTTGACAAGGCTGATGAGAGGGTCACACGGCGAAGGGGCTGACGGTTATGGACGAAAGGCTCTCTGTGGCCTGGGGGAATAGGAGAGGAAGGGGACACTCGCTGCAGCAGACGGAGAGAAGTTCCGTCATTTGAAGAAGAAGCTATCAGGGGAGAAGGATCCAGGATCCTCCCAGGGCACGGATCGAGCCCAAAGGAGCGATGAGGAAACCGAGTTGGGAAATGGGGGTGTTTTTCGTCTGACTGTGTCTTTGTCAGTCCAAACTCAGAGGGAGCGGTTAGAATTCCCTTCTGCACAGCCTGTGCGTTACATGCGTCAATCTCACCTGTCCCTGAAGCGGGAAGTGGTACCACAGAGCTCCTGGGCAGGTGGTCTAGGAAGGGCACGATTATGCCAGTGGGCAACCTGGCGGAGCCTGCTACACTCAGGGCTTAGGCCGCTGGTCTGTCCTTGGCGTGTCAGTGCTCAGGAAGGGGTGGGGGTCAGGCTCTGCACCCAGCAGTGCGCCTAGAAAAGCAGAGGCAGCGTGCAAGCGCTGCTCAGACTTGGGAGCATTAGCAGCACACAGGTTCCAGCCTGGGAAGTGCCCAACTAGGGCCCTGCAAAGCACTTGAGGAGCTTGAATCCGAACCATTTTCAATCCACGACCCCAAAGGGAGCCAGCTGGGGGCTTGTCAGGTTCCCCCTTAACCCAGGATGCACAAAGCGGAGGTGTATGCGGAGCCACTAGGAGGAGGACAGCAACGGTCCAGCCCGGGCTTAGGGCCCTGGTCGGAAGATTCTAGAGACCAGCGTTCAATTCCCGGCTTTCCACAGATCACCTGTGTGACCTGGCTTAGGCCTCAGCTCCCCACCTAGAAAACAGGCATGACGGCCCTAGCTTGGGAGGGTGAACGCAGTACAGACTGTGAGTGCTCAGGGCTGAGTGAAAAGGGCCCCACGCCGGGCACCGGGCAGTATCTGAGATGCCTGCGCACAAGGATTTGTATGGGCCATAATGTGTGCGTGTTGCGGTTCAGAAAATTCCCGTGTGGAGTTCGTGCGGCTCATGAAATCTCCATTAGCACTGGTGCCTAGGCCAGTCAAAGCAGGATTGGTCCTTACACCAAATTCCACCTCAACCTCAGGGAGCCGTTCCCTAGACGAGATCAATGGCTCTCGACTTTTACAGACAACGAGGCCCTTTAGGCGCCTGGTTTGCCTTGTTTCATCTCACTTAAAAACTACCTGCTTACGAAACCAGATCTAAAGATACAGGTGTCACAGCACACGGTTACTGGACAACGGCCGACTTTCTCATTACTACCACAGAATTATGCAAGACACTTGAACCTCCGTACTCCGGGTGTCCCTAATCAACATTCCAGCTGGGGGAATGGGAGCACAGCAACGCGCTTCTCTTCCTGCTTTCCCCCGCCATTTCCATAGCGGCAGTGCGTGCGTGTGCGTGTGTTTGTGTGTGTGCGCGCGCATGCTGGGGTGCGACACGTGTGCCCCCACAAGCAGGGCACCAAGTAAGCACCCCACTTCCATATTCCACATGTCCAGACTCCGCAACATCCTCCTTGGCCTGGAAAATTCTTCAATTCAGCATGCCCTGTTTCCTGTGGTTTCTGGATTCAAGAGGTTCAAGGGAATATTTTGTTCTTCCATTTCAGGGTACCTGAAGCCTGAGCCTCACTGCCCCGGGCCCAAGCCACAGCCCCACCACCTAGGGCTGAACCATGTCACTTAGATTTGTGAGGGCCCCTATGGCATATAGTCCTGAGCAACTGCCCTGGTTGCTACCCCCCTAATTTCTTCTCTGCACTTGTCCCCTGGGGATTGTGCATCCCAGTTAAGAGACACTGAAGTAGGCAAATATCTAGATGCGTTGATGGACCCTCTACGAGATCTCTGAATCCCCCAGGTGAGAACCCCTGGCCTAGCTTGTCAATCAAGTTCCTACTTTCATTTTTTTAACCCCCCGATGCAGTTCTTCGAACAGCTTTGCTCAAATGAGTGCACACGGCTGCAGACATAAACCTGATCTGTTCAACCTACCCAAAAAGTTCCCCAGCAGGAAGCTTTCCCGTTGCCACCTTTCATCTCCCCTGGTGGATAGGAAGAGAGTTGCCTAGACACCTACCAATATTCCCTGTCCAGGCTGTAGTCACAGTGATGTCATCTATGTAGACCGTGGGGGTTGTATACAGCACGACCGGACGGTGAATTCCAGCGTAGTTAAAGAAATCAAACTTTGTGTTCTGAACAAAATAGCCCTTGGGATACCTGTGCGAGGGAGGGGAAAGAATTACGTTCTGTTTCACAAGAACTAAAAAGCACAGTAAAAGCGTTAGTGACCCGCTATTAAAATGGTCTCAAAATGGACCCCATCGTCTCTCCCCCCAAACACATGGACAAGAGTGATCGGGGATATAGCGTACGTGGACGTGAAAGCCTCTGACAAGATCCCTAACCACAGACTCATAAGGAAGGTAGGCAGTCGTGGGAGAAGAGGGAAGGTCCAGTCATTGGTTAAAAAACAGGAACCATTCAATATACAACATAACTCATGACAGTGGAATCAAAACTAACTGCAGAGAGTTCCAAAGGGGTCTCACCAAACTGGGTGACTGGGCAACAGAACGGCAAATGAAATCAATGTTGATAAATGTAAAGTACAGGCAGTCCCCGACGTACGTCGGATCCGCAGTTACGAACGAGGCTTTTCTCGCCCCAGAGGACACGGACTGCGGGACCTCGCGGTCCCGCCGCCCGTGTACTCCGGGGCGAGAAAAGCTGCTCCGCGTCTCCCTGGTCTGCAGACCAGGAAGACGTGGAGCAAAGCCACAGAGGGGCTCGGGCAGCCGGGCAGCCCTGCTGCCAGAGAGCCCCCTCCTTGGGGCTCTAACCCAAACCCTAGGACCAAGGGATTTATAAGCCAGCTGATTAATGTTTGTTGTACTTTTCCCTCCCCACATCTGGGCCAAACCGCAAAGGCCACTCTACAGCCCCAGAGGTTTGTTCTTAAGTTGAATCTGTATGTAAGTCAGAACTGCAGATTCAGCCGCAGTTGAAACTGATCAGTTTCAGCAGCGGCTGACGCCAGTTCCGACTTACATACAGATTCAACTTAAGAACAAACCTGCAGTCCCTGTCTTGTACGTAACCCGGGGACTGCCTGTAATGCACATTGGAAAACAAGAATCTCAACTATACACAGAAAATGATGGCATCTAAATTAGCAGTTATCACTCAAGAAAAGAGTCACTGTGTAGAATTCTTTGAGAATATCTGCTCAATGTGCAGCTGCTGTCAAAAAAAGCTAAAGGCGCCATTAGGAAAGGAATAGAACATATAGAAAATATAATGCCACCAGTTACATTCATGCTACACCCACACCTTGAGGACTGCATGCAGTTTTGGTCACTTCACCTTAAAAAAGATAGAATAGAAGAGGAAAAAGTACATATTTGGGGTCAGGAAGGAATTTTCCTCCAGGGTAGATTGGCAGAGGCCCTGGAGGTTTTTCGCCTTCCTCTGTAGCATTGGGCACAGATCACAGCTGAAGGACTCTCTGCATGTTGGGGCCTTCAAAGTATTTGAAGGCTTCAATATCTGAGACATAGGTGAGAGGATTATTCTAAGAGGGGTGGGCGAGATTCTGTGGCCTGCACTGTGCAGGGGGTCAGACTAGATGATCATAATGGTCCCTTCTGACCTTAAAGTCTATGAGTCTATGAGTCTATGAGAAGGGCAACAAAATTGATTAGGGGTGTGAAAGAGCATTCATAGGTGGAGATAAAAAGACAGACTATTCATCAGAGAAAAGAGATAAAGAAGGGGATATGATATAGGTCTAGAAAATCACAAATGGTTTGGGGGAAATGAGTGAGAAAGTGCTTTGTACTCCTTAACATCACACAAAAACCAGGGGTCACCCAATTAAATGAATGGGCAGCAGGATTAAACCAAACATAAGGAAGTACTTCTTCACACAATGTAGTGTCAACCTGTGGAACTCCTTGCCAGGGGTAGTTGTGAAGGTCAAAAGTTTAACTGGGTTCAGAAAAGGAGGTAAGTTCATGGAGGACAGGACTATCGGTGACTATTAGCCAAGCTGGGCAGGAAGGCAACCCCACGCACCGGATACCCCTAAAGTTCTGAGAGCACGAAGCTGGGAGTGGCTAGGGACAGATCACTCACTGCATTGCCCTGTTCTACTCATTCCACCTGAGGCCTCTGCCAGCGGCCACTGTCGGAAGGCAGGATACTGCCTAGGCAAACCATTGCCAGGACCCAGTATGGCCGTTCTTATGTTCCAGCTGATTTGCTGGTGACACTACAGTGGGATTAGCATGGCCTAATTATACACTAATTACTTGGATCCTGCAACATGCTGAATGAGGCCAGGGGAGCTGACAGCCTCCATAGGCCCCTGGGCAAGATAGATGGGGCCAGCTCCATGCTCCAGGGAGGGGCAGGGATGGGACAGCCAGGCTCAGAGCCAGACAGAGCATGTGGCTCTCCCGTGGCATTTAAAGGGCCCTGCACCCCTTCGCAAAGCCCCCCGCCCCCGCCCGGCAGCCGGCCCCGAATGGGGACACCTTGGCGTTTAGTTTCCATCGCTGCTCTGGCAGCAATTGAGGGAACTCACTTAGACTCGTCCGCCAGGAACTGAATGGCGCCGGGAGGCAGGGTGTGAGGCGTCAGGGTGTTGTTGAGAGCAACGGTGATGCGGCACAGGGCCCCGGGGCCAGCCTGCACAATCCTGCTTATGTCGGCTTCGAAGGGCAGGTGGCCCCCTTCATGCTCCGTCACCTGCACTCCATTGACCCACTGCAAAAGAAGAAACGGGGGGCAGAGAGGCAGCCCGGACTCTCCCTCCCAGGGCCCACGCTGGCAGCTTTCGGGCACCTCCTCCCCATGGGTTGTCACAAAGCCCATGTCACCTTCATGGGAGACTTCTCTGGGCCCTCAGTAGCTGGGGTCTTTCAGCCCTGGCAAACGGCAACACTTCCTAGAATACTAGGACTGGAAGGGACCTCGAGAGTCATCGAGTCTAGTCCCCTGCCCCCATGGCAGGACCAAATACCGTCTAGACCATCCCTGCTAGACATTTATCTAACTGCTCTTAAATATCTCCAGAGATGGGGATTCCACAAGCTCCCTTCAGCTACTAGCTCTGATGCCAGAGGCTCCATGAAGCTAGCGCTGGAAAAAGGCCAACGGGGCTTTGTTCTAAGCTCCCCGCGCCTTGGACTCCCACTTCGTGGCTCGGTTCCACGTCCTGTTTGCAGCCACCGAGAAGCTGCAGCTGGACTCGCAAAGGGAAAACCGGCCGCGTGCTGACGGAGCAGGAGGCCAGTGTACAGACCGACACCACTATCCCTCTGTCCATGCCTGGACCCCTCCCGCAGACCGGGCAGTCGACGGGAGAGCCTCTCCTGCCGACGTAGCTGCCAGCTCTTGGACAGGAGCCTCTCCCACCAGTGCAGGAGCCGCTTCACGACAGGGCTACAGCACGGCAGAGCTTTTAGCGCAGGCCGTGGGTCCTGAGCTAGGAACGTGGGGTGCTGCTGCACCCCTTGGCTTGAAGTGGTTTCTATTATGAACTGGGTTCAGTGCTTGGCTGAGTAGCTCTCAGCACCCCCACCATAACACTGTGGGCATGTCTACACCAGAAGGGCTGGAACCAGGTCCACTGACAAGAGGGGTGGCAAAGGGGGCCCAGTGATTCAAAAGGGCCCTGAGTTCCCGGACGCTGTTGATGCTACTGCAGCAGTGGGGGCGGGGGGAGGCCCGGGCCTGTTGCATTGCTGCCGGAGCCCTGCACAGTGCGCTCCGGGTGAGGGCTGCCTGGGGGAGGGTGTGGCATGTGCAGAGGGGGTG